CTTCAGTTGGGCCTTGCCGTTCACAGTTCACTTTTCTTTTAATTTTTATTATTTGTGTGCAGCATTGCAAAATGCTGTTTTAAATATTAATTGATTTTTATGTTTTCATTTCCCTTCAATAATGTGTTGATCCGTGTTGTCTTGGGCTTGAAAGTGAGGAAAAGATCCAAAGCTGTTATAAAAGTAAAGTGCCCCACTGTCGCCCTGTCACAATTGTTGTCATTTACGTAACGCGCGATCTTAATTTCCCTAGAACAAGCTGGAGTCACTCAGCCCAATCTCATCTTTTCGAGCGCGCGCAATTCTAGACCTACGCGACGCATTGATCGACGCTATTTGCTATTGAGTGGATCAATTTTAATTTCTCACCAGTCTTCAAATTTCAGCCTGCTCGTGTCTACGGCACAGGAGCAGCAGCTCTTTACGATAAGAACGAATTCGTTGCTGGAGAGGATAAGCTGTATGTAGCAATCTCCTCTGACAGAGGTCTTTGCGGAGGTATCCACTCCGGACTGGGCAGGAAATTTAAGGCCCTTCACCTCGAAAGTCCTATCAAGAAGTCTATCATAGTTGGTGACAAGGTGAGACTTTCAGGAGCTTTCAAGTAGCACGTGTTTATCGTTTCTAACTGGTTATCAGGGTTTTCTGTTCTCCACTCTTAAGCCGCTATTTCATAACACTCCCTCCACAGGCTAAGCTCATTCTTCTGAAGACGATGGGAGACACCTATCTGTCCACATTTAACAATGTTGGAAAGAAAGCGAGCTCTTTCACTGACGCTCTGGAGATTGCCGAGGAGATCCTGTCTCACGAGTTTGACAGTGCTGATATTGCTTACAACTCATTTATCAACGTGGTCTCTTATAAACCCATCGTTAGTTCTTTCCTAATACCTTAGATATTTATTATTTACTTTGTTAAAAAACAGTTTTAAGGGCGCCTTGAAGAGATCTTCAGTAGAGCTGACAGATTTTGGCAATCTTGATAGAGAACGAATTATCTTTTGTAACTTGCGATAAGTTCAGTTTGCTGCTACCGCGTAGTTATCATTTGCGTGTGTACTTGTACATTATTATACAAGTACACTATGGAGGATGATCTGAATTTGAGCCGATCTCAGGATAACATCAAGAATTTCGATTATGATGAACTGGAAAATGTGGAGGGCAAGTGGTTCATTGCGTTGGGAAAAGAACTGAAAATCGACAACGTCCACCATGACATTTGTGGAGATATGGACAGAGAAATATTCATGGCTCCGTCTGTTTATAAAAGGCATCTATATCTGGCACTCAGGCTTGTGGAAGCAATAGACCTCGTTCGACGACAGGAATGCCATATGGCTAAAATGATGGAGATCATCCATTGCTTCAAGACAGAAGCGTTAGCAGACAAGGAAAAGGTGATCAGGCTGCAGGGCCAGCTGATTGTGCAGAAGGACAAAGAACTACAGTTGTTTAAGACGTCGGTTGAGGTGACAGTGCAAACAACGGTGGAGTCAGGGATAAAGAGCTACAGTGCAGCTGTACAAAAGAACAGCACAAGTGGCGCGGTCTGCAACAGTAACATCCTGAAGAAGGTGATTCAGAGTGTGGCTGCAGAGGAGGACAGGAGCAAGAACCTGATCGTGTTTGGGCTGAAATAAGAGGAAGAAGAACAGCTTCCAGCCCTGGTAACCGCAGTTTTGGAGGAGATTGGGGTGAAACCTCACTTCGAAGCGACTAGAGTCGGCTGGAAGAGGCCAGGTAGTGTGGCTATCCGACCAGTCAAGATTACCGTCCCAAGCTCAACAGCAGTTCATCAGATTCTAATGAAAACAGGGAGACTGAGGCTAGTTGAGACCTTTGAAAGTTGTCCTCTGTACTTGTTTCACTGGCCGACGCTTTTTAGCATTTATACATTTTGGCCCAATTTATATGTTCGATTTGCTGTACATTTGTATATTTGCTATTTTTTAAAACTTTCAAATCAAATCATTTATAATGGCATTTATAATGGCATGAAAGATAATTTGGGGCAATGTGGTGTCATTTCTGCAAGTTCAAACTCTGGATATTTGTAGCTCTCGCGAGTTTATTATATAGGGCTTATCCCCGAACTTCATTTCAGATAAAGCCGATACCCTCTGCTGCTAATATTGAATCTAACGATGCTGTGTACGCTTACGATGAAGTTGATAGTGAGGTGGTCAGATGTTACCAGGTTTGTTTACTCATTAACGGAGAACAATATTTCAATTACAATCAACCTTTACATTAATAAATAAATAATTTATTTAACAGTACTATATATTTAATAGATCTTGATACGGTGGGGAACAGATGATTGTGATTCGCCTCCCCAACAATATCAAGATCTGTTATCTGAAACATACTGTCGAAATTAATTCTGTATATTAACTACTGCACTACTGTATATTATCCTCTTTTTACATATCATTGTGAAGCACATCTCCACTCAACTATCATTCTCGCAGGAGTTCTCTCTAGCTAATATTATACATCATGCGCTCAAGGAGCAGGAATCTAGCGAACAGAGTGCCAGGATGAATGCTATGGAGAATGCCACTAGGAACGCAGGTAAGTCTCTAGGTTGTTTATTTCAGGGTAGGACTCTATAAGATCATAGTGGGTAATCTTTATAAGTAGGCTAGAGTATGAGATACTGAGTAGAGGCTAGAGTATGAGATACTGAGTTGAGGCTAGAGTATGAGATACTGAGTAGAGGCTAGAGTATGAGATACTGAGTAGAGGCCCTAGTATGAGATACTGAGTAGAGGCTAGAGTATGAGATACTGAGTAGAGGCTAGAGTATGAGATACTGAGTAGAGGCTAGAGTATGAGATACTGAGTAGAGAGTATGAGATACTGAGTAGAGGCTAGAGTATGAGATACTGAGTAGAGGGCAGAGGCTAGAGTATGAGATACTGAGTAGAGGCTAGAGTATGAGATACTGAGTAGAGGCTAGAGTATGAGATACTGAGTAGAGGCTAGAGTATGAGATACTGAGTAGAGAGTATGAGATACTGAGTAGAGGCTAGAGTATAAGATACTGAGTAGAGAGTATGAGATACTGAGTAGAGGCTAGAGTATGAGATACTGAGTAGAGGCTAGAGTATGAGATACTGAGTAGAGGCTAGAGTATGAGATACTGAGTAGAGGCTAGAGTATGAGATACTGAGTAGAGGCTAGAGTATGAGATACTGAGTAGAGGCTAGAGTATGAGATACTGAGTAGAGGCTAGAGTATGAGATACTGAGTAGAGGCTAGAGTATGAGATACTGAGTAGAGGCTAGAGTATGAGATACTGAGTAGAGGCTAGAGTATGAGATACTGAGTAGAGGGCAGAGGCTAGAGTATGAGATACTGAGTAGAGGCTAGAGTATGAGATACTGAGTAGAGGCTAGAGTATGAGATACTGAGTAGAGGCTAGAGTATGAGATACTGAGTAGAGGCTAGAGTATGAGATACTGAGTAGAGGCTAGAGTATGAGATACTGAGTAGAAGCTAGAGTATGAGATACATCATACAGGGATTAAAATAAGATGTTGAAATGACTGTCCCCCCAGGTGAGATGATAGACAAGCTACAGCTGCAGTACAACAGAACAAGACAGGCGGTCATCACCAGGGAACTGATCGAGATTATATCCGGAGCAAACGCCCTCGAATAGATTTCATATCGGAACTGCAAACTGTGCTTCCAGTCGGACAATGTCCTTACTGTCTCCTAGTTACATCTTGGTGACAGTTAGTTTGGACCGAGCATTTGTTGTTGGTAGTCGGGTCCACTGCTATTTTTCTAATTTATGAAACCATTTTAAGTGTAAACTGTAATTATTGAATATGAAGTTCCTAAAAAACCTTTCTTCTTCTTTAGTTCGGGGAATGGACTGCGTCTCAGTAAATTTGTGTTTGATGTAATGAAAAATCCAGTCGTTTCAGGACAAACGTAATTCGAATGGCCAAAGACAATTCAATAAAATTTAGCTCTATCCGACTATCCAAACTATCAAATTAAAATGTAAAAATAAACCTTCATTTGAAAAATGAACACTAACATTTTTCGAGTCGAAAAATTCCTCGAACCAGTGGTGGTACTAACTACTAAGTCATACCAGAAAAAAATTATTTCAATTGGGATCTCAGTGACTGAGCTATAAAGGCCAACGTATGGGTACTGACTTTTGGCCCACCCTGTACTTTCGAAGGCACTCATTTTCGAGGGTTTCTTTATACGGCTTTGCAGTTTGCATGCACCCCTTGACCCTTCCCAGTCCCGCTAATAGTACGGTCAGGCAGCGTATATTCAAGGCATAATTTTTTGTAAAATTTTGTGTCCTAAAATAATCGCGAAAGTTCATCCAATAAATTAACGATTAATAATAATTAATAATGCTATTTTGGAAATGTTGCCGGAGGTCTGGGCCTTCCTGACATCAGCAGAAATACCTGAATTTAGGCCAACATTTGTTTGATTTAAAAAATTGCCGACGTAATATGCTCCCCAATACAAGTACAAGTACTGTGTTTTTAAACAGGACAATATCAGCGAGTGACACGCTGCGCTTCCAATTTAAAATTTGAAAAGTATTTAATAAAAAAACGAACTGCACTAGAGTCTGCGTGAACCGTTTACATCTTTCATCTATCGGAGTTAACCTAATCAGAAAACTAAGGAACAAAGCTAACCCCAGCTGGTTACACTGCTCACCTATTTAGGTAACTCTACAACAAATCGAATTTCGGTTTGACGAGACTTTGAGATAACTGCTCGTTCATGCTACACGTGGTAGCCTGAAGTGACACGTCATTGAACGCTGTACTGACCTTTAACCTGGCACTGTCACCAACCCTCCATGTCCTGATAATTATTGATACACGTTGACTTATCTTATCCATTATCACAGGCGCGAAAAGAGTTATACAACGTGTAATATGTAATATGTATCTTTATCATTATTGATTATATTTATTATTATTAAAAGAGAAACGCTCCTGATAATGGCAAAAAGTTTAAATAAAAAATACTTTGCATTACAATCCGACCCTAACTTCATACGAAGGTCTACAACCCCAGGGATATAAGTGAGAACCCACAAAATGAGCAAATCATTAAAACAATCTCTCAAAGCACGCTTAATATGTATAGTAAGAAACTCAATTAAAAATGGTTTACATCAAAAAAAATTGTGTGAAAACTTTTACATCAAACTTTCTTCAAAACTTCGGCCCCGGTTCAGAAAGTTTCCCCAAACCGGGGCCAAGGAATCGCTAAGTTCTAAAGCCAAACCGATCAGTCCAGAAATACACAAAGTTGACGCAACGCAGCTACTTGAATGAGAAGACTTATGCCTTCTTAGCTTTAGCAGCCAAGGACTCGTACTTCGAGTGAGAAGAATGCCACATGAGAAAGGGAATGAGAAGGACAGGGGTGCACAGACCAACAAATATCAGCCAGTCAACCTGAAGTGAAAACAGTTAATTCATTATAATAATATGTTAAATAGAGTGGACATGTTGAACCGACTCGTAGTTAATACTTGCAGCGCGCGGCTCGGTTACGATGACTTAATTGATAATTAACACGTATCAAGACGCGCGAAGACAGTCAAATTGGCTCTACATGATAAAATGTTTCCGCGCGCGCGGTCAAGTTATTGTAAACGTCAGCTTAGTCGACGTCATGTACAAGGGGACGACATACAACGGCGCTCACCAGATGAGGACTGTGTTTTCTGTTGTACTCAGTGGTGGAGAGGATGGGGTTGTTGTCCAGGAAGCTTGAGAAGGTAACCTGGATAAATTAGGATAATTAAAGGACTTATAAAACCGCCCAAACTAAGAATATGTCTTAATTTCAAGCCGTTACTCGTCGTGGCAATTTAATTACTATTAAAATGGACTATTAAAGAGATACTGTACTATTAAAGAAACTGACCAGTTCGTCACCAGAAGGGTTCTTGTACTTGATAACAGCAGGCACGAAGTTGTGCATACCAGAGGTCAGGGGTTTCAGAACCACAGCATGACTCACGTTAGACCCGGCTGGGATAGAGTCGAATGTGGCGCTCAAAGCTCCACTGACTACCTCAAACTCTCCTGCTGGAAACCCTGCTGTATCGTCAACCTGAGGTTATTAGGGTATCACAACTTAACATTGTCTTTACATTTATCTCTTATTTTAGGCAGTTCATACCAAAAGTTCGTAATATCCAGTTCTAATAATGCATAAACTTACGACGACATCATTAGCAACTTCAGTTCCGATATTGTGAATGACGTAGTGCATTGTGAGGTGTTTGTCCTCAGCAATAACATCATTCAGGAAGTCCTTGGACGCAAGAAGAATAGGATTCTCTTGGGCTGCAACAGCAGCAAACAAGATGACGAAAAGGATAGACATTCTAGAAGGAATTTTGTTAGAGTCATTTTATTATTATCATTATGTTACTGCAAATTGAAAAGGGTAATATCTAAGCAACAATTTATTTCAAGAACTATTTCAGAATATTTGTTAAGATTTTAGGAATAGTTTCTCTCCGATTTATCATTAAATTAGGGGAACTTCAATTAAATCAGCGACATATCGGTATTTTATGAAATAACTATTTACATGCTTGTAAGTAATGCAATTATAACAGTAAAATATCATCCAGATAAATGAAAACATGCGAATTCGGTTAATAAAATTACAAAATAGTTTAGAGCTCATATTTAAACATGAGTTTTAAATTCGCATTTAGAAACGCAATGCTTTACATGATATACCCTATAGGTAAATTTTTACAAAAATATTTATTTAATTGCGACAGCACAAGTATATCAAAGTTGATTCTTATGAACTGCAAATTTTAAAGGATTCAGAGATATTTCTGTAAAAATTTGGGTGAAAATAAAATATTATTCTTTAAAATGGATCATCTCTACACGTGATGCCCATATAAGGAGCGCCATAGTTCATGTCATGAACTATCTGGTGAATAAATTTATGGATAACATCATGCTTTATTTACATGCTTCTACCAAACCATCTGACTGTTCTTTAATATAATATTAAATTTATCGTAAAAAACAAAAAGCTATTAAATTTAAATACCTTCTATATTGAATTATCATGAGACGAATTTAAGAATGAGTCAAATAATTTAATAAGCATTTAAATTTAGTTTTAGATTAACTTAAAACTGTAGCACAAACACAAATTAAAATTATATAACGAAACAAATGAGTATCTCCAAAATTCTCAGAAATAACAGCTCATAATTTTTAGAAATGCAACTAGCCACTCAAAACGTGATAACAACGGGATATTTGATCTATTATTCATGTAAAAGTTTAAGCAGGAAGAATCTTGGTTGGAGGTTTGGGAAGGCTGTACATGTACACAGCACCCAACACTAGAGCCGTACCTACCGAGAACTGCAGTGTGATGACAAATCCCCACAGAAAGACACTAACCACACAGGAAACAATAATAGCAAGGGATGTGGCGAAACCTTTGAGGATGTTGTCAGCGTACTTAACTACCACAGCCACTAACAGACCACCAAACGCCTGCATCAGAACCACCCACCACACCCACCCATTGTAGCCAAACAAGAAGCCCTTCTCGCTGACAGTTTCACCATCATTCCAGTACACTCCAAACAAACCCACAATTACACCATACCCCGCCAGATGAATGTTTCTCATCCACAAAGAGATATCAGATCCTTTGAGAAGTTTCTCGAAGTAAACACCAGCAAATCCTGACGAGCAGCATGACAGGAGAACGGCCACCAGTCCAAGAATGGGATTTTGTTCCACATCTGATGTTTTGGTACTCTTCGTGTCATTCTGACTGAGCTGCACAATTGCAACACCAGCAAACAGCAGACATAAAGCCACCCACTGGGTCCTGATCAGCTCCTTCCGCAGCAGGAACACAGAGAAGATAGCAGTGGTCATGATCTTTAGCTGATAGGTAACCTGGGAACACAGCTGCCTCAAGATTACTAATCGCAACGTACTGGAGATTATTCTGAATTACATATAGGATAGCAGGTACAGATATCTTCACTGCATCTTTCCACTGTATCACAGTATAATAATGAACATGCTCAATAAGCCCACTCACAGATCCCTTCTCCTTGAATATAACAGCAAAGCAAGCCAGCATTTTGCCGAGTTCAGCTAGCACTACAGCAGTTGTGGCCAGGTACATATCACCAGGCAGGGTCCGGGTGTATCTAATACTCAGAATGAGACAAGCATTTTGGAATGTCAGCACTACCAGACTGAGATATTTTAGGTTTACACCTCCTTCTGCTCCACCCATTGCTCTCCTAATGAAATGTTAAATTGTTTATCTCAGGAATTGCAAATTACTTAAAAGTAATAAATGTTAAATTGTTTATCTCAGGAATTGCAACTTACTTAAAATAATGAAATGTTAAATTGTTTATCTCAGGAATTGCAAATTACTTAAAAGTAATAAATGATATAATGTAAAGATGCGCATGCATGTATCAAAGTTTAAATGTTCAAGAGATAATCTTAGAGATTCAACAAAATGCGGAGAAAGACACTGTGAAGGTAGCAGTTTGGTTTCCTCATGGGACTTTACACATAGATAGGTGGGCCCTTACATTAACGAGGAAGGTAATGACTCTGGCACAAGACGGAAACATGTAATAGTGTAGAAGCAGGTGTTACAATAATCTTGTAAAACACTCGGTACCGTGTGGTGTAATATATAACAAGACATAGAAATTAAATTTTGATTATTTTTCTGTAAAATAATAGTACTTGACTTGATATTGATAGTAAATGATTAATGAAGGATAGAATTAAAAAACTTGTTTCACTGGTGAAGTCAGGAGTAATAGAGATGATTTGCGTTGGAGGGTTGCAGGTCAAGTGGTATCAATTATAACTTAATGACTAAAGCACCCCATGTAAATTTCGAAACTTGGAGTGCCCACCGATTTTTCAACGCATTATCATAGGTATATAATATTATATATATAATATCTGCATCTGTCAGGAAGGAAATGAAGCTTTTTGAGATAAGCATCTCCTGTTTTGGCCATGTAGACAAAATATGAACATAACAGCATTATTTTGGATATGGCCCAAAAGCTTACAAATCTCGAGAACATTCAAATGTTCTCGGCCAATAAAAATGGTTTTGCAGCTCTAAATCCTGATATTATTATTATAACACAAAATGGATATTTTCGGATGAGTTTATTGCTTGATCCGGACAAAAGCGGTGGGCACTCGAAGTTTAGAAAATTGCACAGAGTTTTTTAATGTGTCAAATCAACCACATAGCCAAGGTTGACATAACTGATCAACTTTGAGATTAAATGGTTCTGCAAATCTATCAATTATGAGCAGCTAGATAAAAACTAGATGGTTTGGCGGTGAACTATATTTGAAAATATATAATGCTCTTTTTGAATCACATCTCAGTTATGGTATAAGTGTTTGGGGTGTTGTCCTCAAAGAACGGTCCAATGATAGTCTTTTTATCACATAGAAGCACTGTATAAGGATCCTTTTTGGCGACCTTGACTCATATTTAGATAAACAATCAACATGTGCACGTACTAGACCATACGGTATGCAAAAACTAGACCATAAACACTTTGAAAAGGAGCATACAAAACCCATTTTTAATAGATTAAAAATTCTCATAGCTCAAAACTTGTACAAATATCACTGCATCTTTGAATTCTCTAAGATTATCAAGTACCACTGCCCATACTCCCTTTATGAGGCTATCAACATTTCAAACCATGCAACGAGTCTAACGGTTATTCTTCTAAATAAATCAAATACCTTTTTGTTTAATGCAGCCAAGCTTTGGAACGCTGTTCAGAAAAAATTTTAACTTCAAGCAACTGCTTAGAAACGTCCATTAACTTGATAAAATTGAGAACCAAAGCACTATTAATACAAGCACAGGCAGCTGACTTAAAAGATACTTGGACTCCAAACAATTTTAAATTGCAGTAATCAAATCTAATTGCAGCGGCACACACTTACTATTACTATCATGATTGTACTGTATACAGAAAATCTCTCAAATCGATTTTGGGCGCTTTTAACCATTTGTTGTAACGTTTTTAGATACTAAATAATAACTAAATTTATAAAAAATTTTATCGGAACGAATTAATTGATATTTAATAATTTATTCGGTAGTTTTATCTGATATTGATATTGATATTGATTATATTGATATAGTTATTATTGAACGAAGCTAACTCTAGACATAGTTAATATTACTTCTTTTAACAAAGGGATTTGGAGTATAAACGACCAAGTTTGCATAAATTTCTATCCAACCAAGAACTCAGGAGGCGAAGGTGGGTGCGTAAACTGTTGGTCTGCACTCTCCGATCCTGTATCACCCTGGATTCTTCTCGACGTATCTTTGTAAAAGGTATATACCTTCTAGTCAATCTCTTGCTACTCCAAGTCCCCTAAGATATCTGATCAAAAGTTCGTGCTCGTTATACATATAATATGAAATATATTTTTGTCTGCTTTAATTGATACTAAATAAAATCGTTGTTTTCTTGAAATTGTTGTTTCTTGATGCCAGAAAAGATGATGGAAAAATAGTTCCTGCTTTTGAGCCCAAAATGTGCAGAGGCAGGCATTCCAAGAAATTATTATCATGCGTATGAACATAGCTTAGTTCAGCATTATTTTGAATATGGCCCAAAAGCTCACAAATCCCCTAATGCTAACTACAATTTCTTAGCACTGCGATTCTGGCATGGGTTTGATCAATGAGCACTCAAAGTTTAGAAATTTGAGTTACTTCGTGTCACAACTCATAACAGCCTCCATACCATATGGCCATGTTTGACTTGGCTGAAAGATCAGGTAACTTTGAAATTAAATGGTTCTAAATAAATAAATAAATAAAGTCAATTTTTACAGCACAGCAATATATATCTAAATATCAGATCCTCTGTAATCATAATGTATAAAAAAAGGAGCTTTTCTCTGTGCTGAAGGATGAATCAAGGCAGATCATGGTTCTGTTAGCAGGCCACCCTAGTTATGGACAATACATATATATAAAATAATTAAATTATAATTTTAAAATTTTGTCAAGATTGAACTAAAACATAACTCAGGGTAAAATAGACGTATTCCCTTCGTCAAATTAACTATTTACAATACTAAACTTAAACGAACTCCGGGTAAAATAAACGTAATCCCTTTGTCAAACTTGCTATTTACAATAAGTTAATAAATTAATACGGTTGAAAATTATTTCATATTCAATAACAATGTAGCATCAATATAATTGATACAAATGAGGAGCATACAGTGAGAATTGCACATAACAGGAGGACTGGAGGTATGGAGCAATAATGATTGACAGTGCACCTTTCCACTGATGTTCCTAACTTCCTGTAATAGCTTAATAGGCATGGAAATACTTTGATTGCAGGGGATAGATTGGATTCACTTATGTACTGAGATAACTTAACCGAAATAACATAACTGCCTAGATACATTGGCTAGTGTTGGGTGGGATCATGAATTTATCGTAAGAGTTATCCCCTTGGTAATTCTCATCAGTTAGCAACATATTCATAAGAGTTTCTTTGTATAACTTAGAAAATTTCTTAACGTCGTCACACTCTCTAAGGGACTTAGGTAATATGTTCCAGGCCTTAGTTCCTAGATAGTTAAACTCCTTGTGAGATCTTGATTTAGGAGTATAAAGATTGCAGTTTTCTGCCTCAAGTGATCCACCAGAAATATACGAGAATTTCCCGATAAAATGCTTTGGACATGTTTCATTGATTATACGGTACATATATGAGCTAAGATGAACCTGTCGTCTCAAATGGAGAGGAAGCCATCCCATATTTTTGTATACATTAACCGACCTCTCTCTGATGTTTACATCTAGGGCTATTTTAGCAACCTTTTTGTACATGATATCTAACTCTCCTAGTCGTTTTTTATATGTTCTTGACCAGATGGTGTCTAAGTAGTCAAAATGTGGCAACATAAGTGCATTAGCAAACATCTTCCTGAACTTAAGAGGGAGAAGTTTTTTTGATCTATACATAGCACCAATTCTTTTGGATATCTTTTTCTTAATGTTATCAATATGTTCATTAAATGTCAATCTGCTGTCAACTATAAGTCCAAGGTACTTATGGGATTTAGTTTCACAGATTACCAAAGTAAGGTCATCACAAATTTCAACAAGGATGGCATCAAGGTTAGGCTTAGAGTCAAGGATCATTAGTTTTGTTTTTTCATTATTCAGGGATAGTTTATTAGCCTGAAGCCATCTGATAACTAATTTCAACTCTTGTTTGATGTTACCATAGTTTCCTCTAGATATATTGTCAAAATATAATGCACCGTCATCAGCAAATAGATAAGGTTTAGAAAATAGGCATGCATTAGGCAGGTCATTGATAAAAATGCTGAATAGAATTGGTCCTAATATACTTCCTTGAGGCACTCCAGAGTTCAATGAATGTAAACTGCTTATCCTACTCCCAACTCTAGTTTGCTGTAATCTATCTGTGAGGAAGCTCCTAAACCAGCTCAATGCAGTATCTTTTATTCCATAATGCTTCAGCTTTTGAATGAGAATATCATGGTTGACAGTATCAAATGCCTTTCTGATGTCCAGGAAGATAATTGCAGGATGCTTGGCACTGTTCTTAGCAGTAAATATACGATCAAACAGATCTAACATGAGATAAGTTGTAGAGTGATCTTTACGGAAACCATATTGATGCTCTGAAAGTATTCCCTTTTCATCAAGATATTGAGTCAGTTGGGAGTTCACACAAAATTCGATGCACTTTCCAAGAATCGGTAAAATTGAGATTGGTCGATAATTACTAGGATTCTCAGTATCACCATCCTTATGGATTGGGGTGACTTTTGCAACCTTGCAGCTGTTTGGCATGATGCCACTGGATAAACTCAAATTTACAAGATGTGTTAATGGAGCAATAAATGCAGGTAAAATTTGTCTAAACACTCTCAATGGTATATGATCATTAGTGGATTTGCTACAAGGGATACTTGCCACATAGTCTAAGATATTGGACTCAGTTATTTCAGTAAAGCTATTCAAGCTGGTCTCGTTGTCAATCTGCTCATTTTGTAGATAAAACTATCAATTACTAGATATATATAGACTCAGAAGGTTTCGTGGGTAATATGACAGAAAAGACAATGGAAAATACCTTCTGCTTTAGAGCTCAAGATGCAGCTTTTCTCAAATGTTTAAAATATCGGCAACCGACAGCCGACAGGGTACATTAGAGGGGCTACACACATCAAA